CAATGATCCCCTGGTCACTTCTGTCATCATCAATAACTGTGAAGTGCAACGTGTCCTTGTTGACACCGGGAGTGCACCAGACATCATGTATTTTCACTGTTTCGAGAGTCTGGGACTGGATCCAGCATTGTTGCAGAAGTATGACGGTCCCATCTATGGTTTCAACAACCAACCTGTTCCAGTAGAAGGAGTTCTTACCCTCCATGTGGCTTTTGGAAGTGGTCAGACCTATGTAGCCCCTCCAGTTCGGTTCCTCGTCGTCAAGATGGCCTCTTCTTTTAACATTGTTATTGGCCGGCCCACATTGACCGAAATCCGAGCTGTGATTTCCCAATCTCACCTCTGCATGAAGTTCCCCACTCCTATGGGCATAGCAACACTGCGAGGAAATCAGGAGGTAGCCAGACACTGTTACATCACCTCGGTCACACAACCAATGAAGGGCAAAGATAAGACACCCGAGGTCATTCCCCAGCAGATTCCTGATAATCAGCAAGTAATGGGTGTAGAGATTATTGATAATCGACCGGATGATGAAACCAGAGCTGCTCCGGTTGAAGATGTTGAAGAAGTGCTGGTTGATGACAGAGATCCGAGCCGAAAAACGCAGATCGGAACTAGATTAAACCCAGAAGAAAGAGCAGAACTGATAGCTTTTCTCCAAGCTAACAATGATGTATTTGCATGGACTTCGGCGGATATGCCAGGAATTCCAACTTCAGTATGTCAACATAAGCTCAGTACCAACCCGTTGAAGAAACCAGTGGCTCAGAAGCGGCGTCTCTTCGGGGGGGAGAGGCTTCAGGCTGTCAAAGAAGAGGTGGAGAAGCTCCTACAGGCTGGTTTTGTGAGGAAAGTTGATTATTGCGAATGGGTGGCTAACCCAGTCATGGTGAAGAAGGCCAACGGGAAATGGCGAATGTGTATCGATTATACAAATCTTAACAACGCCTGCCCTAAGGATTGCTACCCAATGCCGAGCATTGACAAATTAGTTGAAGCGGCTTCAGGCAATGAGAGGTTAAGCCTCTTGGATGCGTATTCTGGGTATCACCAGGTGCCGATGGCTCCAGAAGATGAAGAGAAGACCTCATTCTATGCTGGCGACGAGATTTATTGTTATGTCATGATGCCATTCGGACTAAAGAATGCAAGTGCTACTTACCAGAAAATGGTGACCATAGTCTTCCGAGCTCAGATTGGCAAGAATCTGGAGGTGTATGTGGATGACATTGTGGTAAAGAGTCTGAAGGCAGAGAACCATCTAGCCGACCTCGACGAAACCTTTAACAACCTCAGAAAGAACCGGATGCGGTTAAATCCAGCCAAGTGCATCTTTGGAGTGGAGTCTGGAAAATTTCTAGGTTTCATGGTATCCCGAAGAGGGATTGAGGTCAATCCAGAGAAGATCAGAGCAATTGCCGAGATGGAACCGCCGAAGTCAATTAAAGATATACAGAGACTGACAGGAAGGGTGGCAGCTCTGCATCGATTTATCTCCAGGTCAGCGGATAAGTGCTTGCCATTCTTCAAAATTATGAGGTCGGCCGCCC